AGATATTACTAGATATAGATAGAGATTACTAGGAAGGCTTGGCCGGCTTGGAATTCTATGTAGATCTGGTTGGCATTGCACTCATTGCCTGCCTTGGTCTTCTGTGCTGGGTGGGATTTACGCTCCATACCACCATGCTCAGCAGTGTTTGCCTCTTGAGACAACATGCAGCCCAGGATGCACTTGAAGTAGCCATCCTTCTGCCTCAGACTTCTGATTGCTGGGATTATAGGTATAAACTATCCTGTCAGGGCCAAAATAGCTTCTTGAGATGATGAAAATACTCCATAGTTATGGTGATGCTTACATAACACAATCCTGAATATCCTTTAAAAGTGATTAAGTTAGATACCTTAAATGAGGGAATATGTTATGAGTTATATCTCAATTAAGCTATATTTTTAAAAAATACTGTGTAATCATACCAAAGGATACTTGGGCAACATCTACCAACTAATAACTCATTACCTCATTTATGAAACCTGCTGTACCCTTTCTAGTCTTTGCCTCTAAAAGGCCCAGCCTTGCAAAGCCTACTTGCTTAGTCTCTGCCAAATGTAACTCCATTTAATGTCATTTGTCTCTATAGCAACCAACTAGAAAAAGCTGCTTTGTTTAGCAGTGACTCTGTACAGCAGTGGGCTAGCCTAGAGATGTTTTAAGGCTCTGAGTCCTCCGTTCATCACCCCTCCGCCATCCACCAGTGTCAGGTAAAGAGGAAAACCTGTGATAAGTGAGAGAGGCAAAGAAATAAAAACTGAAGACATGCTGCAAGGAAGACTAAGTTCAAGGGTTAGAAAGATCCAATTTAAAAGAGGGTGAGGAAGGAATGATTAAGAAATTAGAAACAGAATATTTTTTAGAAATTTCCATTAATATACTGGCTAAAGCAATGTAATAACAATAAAACAAATTTCAACACTCACACAATACTACTGCTTTGGAAAGCGGAGGGCTCTCATTTATGGCTATCTAATGGGCGTTTCACAGTAGCTCACTACAGATAGGTATCAGACACAAAGCAGGCATCTTTAACAAATTTTTAGCAGAGTGGTGGACAGCCATGAATAACAAACAGTAAAACTTTTGTTAATACTATGAAGCAGACAATGCGAAAAGGCACACTGTATGTAAAACTTGGGAAACGTAGGAAATTTAAAAGGCTGGTGAGCTGGCTCATGGGGCAAAGGGCTGGCCATGCAAGCCCATCCACCTGAAACTGACCCCGAAACCCAGGCTGGAAGGGGAGAACCCACTCTGGTTGTCCTCCCATACATGGGCCATTTTGGTGTTTTCTCTCTCTCTCTCTTAAAGAAAAGATAATCACCTTTAAGCCAAACCAAAGAAAACACAGAGGATGGGGTTTCCTAAGTTTGCATCAATTCTAAAACATGTAAGGACGCAGGGTAAGCTTTGTGGTTCTATCCTCTCCCCACTTTCAGAGCTGTGTCTTCAAAACAGGCTGTCCATCTGAATGCCCTCCATGGGGAGAGTCTCTCAGTTTTCTCTTGGCTGGATCACGCCCCATCGCCAGCACCTGCCTTAGCCATCCACATTCACAGAATTTTATTCTTCAGAGATTCATTAATGAAGTCATTAACACCATTCTCACCAGCTTATGGGATATTTCTTTTCCAGGAAGTTTTATGCCTCTCTATTTTTCGATACATAAAGAACACTTTCAATTTTTACCTGCGGTGGCAAAGACAGAGAGGTAACTATGACAGCAGTTTACATAGTTCGTTTCTAAGTACCAGCCAGCCCTTAATTGCTACCCTGGATGGCAATGCCATGTCCTCCTAGCCATTCTAGGGTACTGGGCTGTTCAAAAGGTAGCTACTTAATGTTCTTTACAAAGAGTAGAGAAAATTTCTTCTGTTCATTTTACTGTACTGGTTAAAGTGGAACCTAAATCTTTCTCTCTTAATCATAACTTTCTGATTACATGAGCTACCTTTGCTACTAGATTATAAGGTCTTGATATGCATTATTTTTGACTATGTTAGCATTTCACACTGAAATTTAACATAATAAATGTTCTTCGGATATATGCAATAAATGAAAATTATTGAGATTTCAGTTAGAAATATCTGAAAACCCCAGCAAATCTGCACATTCTACAGTTTTCAGGGAAATAATGTTTAAAACAGTCACTAACTTTTGCTACTCTGCTACTGTAAGAAAGGGGAGCCTTTATGCTAGTGAAGAGCACAATTCCACACACTTGGCCTGGGATCTAACTTGCCTACCATGTAGGAAAACCTGGACTCAATTTCTAGCACCACAAACAGCAAAAAACATGCCAGAGAACCAACAAAAAATAACAACCCATATGCGAGTTTTGTTTCTAAAGAGAGTAATAATACAAATAACCTTCAAAGGCAACACAGTGATTATGTAAAATAAAATAAGAAAAGAGAAATAAAAGCAAGATTAGGCCAGTGGTGTTGGCACACGCCTTTAATCCCAGTACTCGGGAGGCAGACACAGGAGGATCTCAATGAGTTTGAAGCCAGCCTGGTCTACAGAGTGCATTCCAGAACAGGCTCTAAAAAGCTACAGAGAAACCCTGACTTGAGAGAGAGAGAGAGAGAGAGAGAGAGAGAGAGAGAGAGAGAGAGAGAGAGAGAGAGAGAGAGAGAGAGAGAGAGCGAGAAAGGCTCTCGTATGTTGTCAACCTGGTGACATGAACCCCACCCCCAGAACCCAATATAGGTTGGAGAGCGCCTACTATACAAAGCTGTGTATTTCCCCCAACACCCCAATAACACACTTTGAGGGGAGGGGTTTGAGATAGGGTTTCTCAGTGTAGCTTTGGCTGTCTTGGAACTCGATTTGTAGATCAGGCGGGCCTCAAACTCAGAGAGATCTGCCTGCCTCTGTCTCCCAAGTGTTGGGATTAGAGGTGTGCACTCTCATAGACAAGCCTGATAATACAAATTCTAAACGTTAGTCTATTTTACCTTTTGCAGCAGACAGGACTGTTTTATTCCCAATTCCAAGAAAATTTCATTTCATTCTACTGAGTTTAACTTATTTTTCATTGGTCTCTGGGTAACCTCAATTGTTTAAGTCTCAGAAGCCCTTTGTAGAGGAGTTTTGGATCCATGGAAACACTGCTTATCTATTCAAATGTCAAGATACATGCTCAACAATAGATCCCTCCATTGAAGAATAGCTATGCACACCGTGATCCCACGTCAGCACATCATCTTCCCTATTGCATTTCGTGGCTCATAAAGTACTTGGAAACTGATGAATATTGGGACTAAAGAGACTTAAATACTGAAGCAATCACCATTTACTATGAGGAAAAAAAGTTATCATAGTTTCACTATTTTTGTTTGTTTGTTTTTTAGGGCTAGCAAAACAAAATACCACAGGCTACCTTAAACACAGTACTGGAGGCTACCCTTTCTAAGACGGACAGCTTTGATTTGTTTCTTCTGTGAATGCTGCTTTCTTGTTCTTTCCGCACAAGGCCTTTATGCATGTATCCTGTATCCCGTGTACTGTGTACTATTTATCAGCAGGCTGAAGTGCCTCACCCACCACAGTGGCACTGAGGCAGAAGCAACTGTGACTGAACTGGTAGAGTCCCCTTGGCTGCCCAGTCTACTGACAAAAAGTGCTTCTCTGACCACTTTCATTTCCTTAAACAAACGTGGATGGGCCTGTTCCAACAGAACTTTCAAAGACAAAGATAGCTAGCTCGTCATTAGCCACCCACCTAAGTCTGAACACATTCAGAGAAAGACTAACCAAAATCCTGCAAACGACAGAAAACTTCAACTGCCCATTAATACTAAGAAGCAATTTTCACTCTAAATTTAATAAAGTTCAGTAGTTTAATTCCTAAGGGAAAAAAGACCCTAATAGTTTATGAGTAACACCTTTACTTAGTAAAAGGAAACAGTTAACAAAAGTGTGAAAGCTCCCGTTTCCCCGCCCACCATAGTAGCCAAGTAGCATAAACAAGCGACGTTTCCCCAGTTAGGCCTTGAAATGGTTCACAGGCAGGCTTCACAAGCACCTAAGGGCTCCTGAGAATTTGTGGTGCTGCAATTTTTAATCTAGGAGTGGTTGGCATAAATTTCCTGACAACCAAATGACATGGCATAGCTCATCTTTTCTCCTATCTTAAACTATTATAATAAATTTGTTGTCCTTTGCTCTCCTGACACCACTTCTTCTTTTTTCTAACTTCTTGCTCGGGTTCCCCAAATGGCAGAAACCTGACTTTAACTAATAGCACCTCTCCCTGTTTATCTCCTCTTTCATTCTAGGTCTTTTCAGATAGGAAGAAATTCAAGGTGCAGCTGAAGATCATAGATTTAGATTTTTTTATGGGTCTCCCTCGTGTGTGTGTGTGAAATTACCCCGCCTTCATTTTGCATCTATTTAACTGCACTGCCGTACCAAAACGTCGGTAAGTGCCTTACGCACTTGACTTCCAAAATGGCTTGCTTCTTTCGAGCTGACACGAGTCTATGGGATGCAATTTATTTCCACTGCAACCAGTCCTTCTTCCTACTCCCTACCATCATCACAAAAAACAGAGAGCCGGGTTTGACGGGTGCAAAGAATTGCATCTTATCCGCTAAATTCAGCAGAGCCTGCAAAGCCGTAGCACCGATGGACGAACGTTAAAGGAGGGCAGGGGAGGAGAAGCCCAAGAGCCCAAAAAGCCCAAGCTCCTCACACGCGGCGGGGCCAGCTCGCGCCCTCCCGCCACGGCCGCAGGCCCCGCCCCCTCACCGGGCCCGCCCCCTCCGTCCCGCCACGGCCACGCCCGACGTGAGGCGCGGGCCCGGCGGGCGGGGGCGGGGCCTGCGCCGCCCCTCCCCCCGCCGGCGGCGGCCTCCGCGCGGGCCTCCCAGCCCCTATTCCACTCACTTTGTTCGGCGCCTTTGTCCTGGTCCACACCAGCAGGTGGAGCCGCAGTGAAAGTTTCCCGGCCGTTCCGCGAGCGGGAGCCCATCTTGCTCGCCGCCACGGCCCTCGCTGGAGGAGGAGGGTCAGAGCTCGGGGGCAGCCAATCGCGCGCAACGCTGCTAGTTATCAGAGCAGAATGGGCTGTAGTTGAGTGGACTCGGAAAGCTGCAAAACACTGTGGAGTGCTGCCGTGTAAATAAAAAGGGGGAAAAAGTTTCTCAAGTCGCCATTGCACGACGTCGGGCCGCGCCGGGGCGGGGGTCTGCGCTCTTCCGAGCGGCCGCGCGCGGGACTCTGTGGTGCCGCCAGCCCCGGCCCCATTGTTTGTGTTTTCTTCAAAATATGGCAAAGGTTCAGGTGAACAATGTAGTGGTGCTGGATAACCCGTCGCCTTTCTACAACCCGTTCCAGTTCGAGATCACCTTCGAGTGCATCGAGGACCTGTCTGAAGGTGAGTGGCGCCTGGCTGTCAGTTGCGGCGGCGGACGTTAAAGTTTCCCGGCCCGGCCTCGCGCGGGGTGGGCCGCGGGCGGCGGGAGGGCGGCCATGCGAGGGAAACTTGAAGTTGAGGGAGCCGGCCGCGCCGCAACTTGCGAGCAACTTACCGGGCGGAGGGAGCCATGTTGTCAGCTTTGTCTGCGGCGGGCAGGCGGGCGGCTCCGGCGGCCCCAGGCGCCGGCGGGGGTCGTGCGGCCTCGGCGGCCCCAGGGCCCCGCGGCCCGCCGGGGAACGGAGCCATCTTACCCGGCGGCACGACGCCTGCTCCGGGCCGCCGGGGGCGAGCGGGGTCCGCGCCTTCCCGCCCGAGCCCCGCCGAGGCTGTCCTCGCGCCGCTCTCCGGCTCCTTCCACCAACCAGCGCGGAAGGCGGGCGCTGACTCGGCCCCTCCGCGCCGGCTCCCGGGGACCGTCGTCCTCCCCGCCGTGCTCCCTGCGGGCGCCCGGGATGCTGCGCGCAGGCTCCGCGGCGGTGTGGACGCCTCTCCCTGGGGACGGAAATCTCTCTGAAACAGTGCAGAGCGAGGAAGTTCATCTGCCCAAGAGCCAGAGCAGGGCGCTTAAATAGTTCCCGGTCCTGGCTTCTCAAAAGTCTCAGAGACTTTCCCCAGCACGTATGAAGATGCCATTAAAATAACTCCACGAACGGTGGCTATGTAATACGAGACAAAGTCTTTTTTCAAGTACGTCTTAAGGTTTAAAAAAATGCAGAATGGTGAAGGAATGCAGAATTTAAAAGGCTAAAATGTAGGGTTCTTCCCACTTTGAATTTTGTTAAAAATCGGTGCTTCATTTTTAAAAATTGAAACACGTTTAACTTCATCAGTGTTAATTTTAGTTAAGAGGACATCTTGGGACTTGAAATTATTTCGTCAAAATGCCTTTAAGACTACTATCCTAATCATGATGGAAAGAATTTTTCTTTTCATTTAAAAGTTTTTAATCTCTACAATGTACTTTATGTAGGATGTTAATTTTAATTATAAAAACCAATATATGCCCATTGCAATAAACTTCAAAAAGTTGTAAAAAGGAAGTCACAGCTCTCTCCTCCACTCTTTTAGCTAACCACAACCATTACTTTAAAATGTACCCCTCTGCTGTTTTAATACGTATATAAAGTATAAATGTGCATACATTTAATATGTGGGAAATATTTTGAAGAATGAGCCATGATTAAAATATAGTAGTTTCCGAACAGGCTGTGATGATGTAAGGGTGTTTTGCTTAAAACCCCATTTGTTAGTGTTCCATAGTGTTAGTAAAAGCATTTCCTCACCAGATCCATTTCTAAACCCAACATTCGGGTTTCTTTTTTCTTTAACTGCCAGTTTAAATACAAGTGAGCAAAGTAAAGAAAAGCATGTGTGAGGCGATTCTAACTCAATACAGTGTTTTAGGCACCAGCAGCTCTTCATATCACAGCCATTTCTCAAGCCATGGCTTCCATTTTAGGAGTCAACTTTGTACAAGGAAGACATGATCTAGGATATTGTTACAGTGTTGCTACACTGGATAGTTCCAAACCAGCTATTCCCAGAAACCAAATGGGATCCTTTTACAACAATGGTATCACTCATGTCAAGAAGACACCTACTTCTAGTACACTTCAAAACCAGGGCACCATTATTTTAGGATATTTTAAGCTGAGTCATTCCAAAGCTGCAAAGGAATCTTTCAATAAAGGTGCCATTCCTGTAGACTCCATCTAGAGGCTGTGTGGAGTAAGGAAATGGAGTTGACTTATAGCAAAAAGCTCTTTTCTAGGTTCTATACTTTTGTTGTACTGTGATTTTGTTTTTTTTTTTTAAGTTCCTGATCAAAGTACAAAATACTTAGAAGGGAATTTTGAGTTTATAATTTGTGTCTACCCTCAACCCACTGATGAACCACTATTTATTATACTTGTCAATCGTCTTAAAATATTTTAACTTTATTAGAAAAGCTGCCTTGCAGCTTTGCTTTAGAAGAAGCCTTAAGTAGTATTGCTCTAAAGATATTATGGTTATTTCTTTTATAGGACTTATGTCTAAGAGTAGAGCACATTAAAAGTGGGATGAAAAGGACAGTGAAATGGCTCAGCCAGTAAAGCCACTAGCTGCCCAGCCTTACTCCCTGAGGTAGTTACTCACTAGGTCTGAGGTCAGTCACCAGAATCCACGTGGTTGAGAGAGCCACTGACTCCACCCAGTTATCCTCCGACCTCCATCCACATCAATGCCCATATGCTTACATAAACACAACAGATGCATAATTTTTTAAGGGATTTAAGTAGGTGCTTTATCAAGCCCAATCACTAGGTCTGTACAAGTTTTATTGGCCTGCCTGCCATTTCTAGGGTTTAATATTTGCACCAAAACTGAGCCTGTAACTTTATTCTTTGAAAGTCCAGACCTCTTCTGCTTAGAAAGGCTTTATACTTTCTACTAGACCACAGATCTTCCCAACAGTGCAGTTTTTTCCTTGGTCACATGCTTCCCATTACACATGGAGATACTTTCTACCTGGGATGACCATAATCAAATGGAAAATTTCACTTTCTAAATAAGTGAATAAATTCCAGCTAGAAACTTACAGTGCCACAGGCCTTATCCTTAACTTTCTGAAATACAGAGGACTAGAAAAGGAAAAGTGGGTTTATAAACAAGCTAAAGCATGCCACAGCATTAAAACCTAGTGTGCGCCAGTTCTTTGAGTTATAGCTTGTGCTTACTGAGACTGGATTACCTAGCTCACCAGTCTTTACCCATCTTCTGTGTTCTTTGATTCCATTATGTCAAAACTAGAAAGAGCAAGATTTACCCAGCTTTTATTTTATTTTTTTTTAAATCTGAAGGCTTTTGAGTAGCAGCGATTCAATTTAAATTCTAATTCTGATTTGTAAGCTGTGTGAATTTTTAGTAGATATCTTAGCTTCTCCAAGTCTCAGCTTACATGTTTATATAACACACAGTATGTACTTGAATAATTATATCTGTATGATAAAGCATTTGTATAAGTAACAAAGCCAATTCACCTTAGGTAACTTAGTAGTTTTTCATATATCCTTCTTAAATGTTTCTTCATTTGGCTTTTGGATCACTTCCCTCATCAGCCACTAGCTTCCTAAACTACTTTATTGATTCTTCATTTTCCTGACCTGTCAACTCTGGAGAGTCTGAGGGCTCAGTCCCTAAGAATCTCATTCATGTATTGCCAATTTTCAATTTTTTAAGATCTGACCTATGTTGTGTCTAATAGACATTCCAAACATATATAAAACTAACTACTGATTATTTTCTTTTTTACATCTGAAAGGAAAAAAGTGGCAACTGCTGTTTCCATCGCCAAACTTTACCTAGGATGTAATGGTTTAACATCACTCTCATGACCACCATAACTGATCCACAGCACCATAACTTCTGTCCTCGATTGCTGAAACAGTTTCTTGTTCCCTTGCCCTCATCCAGTCTACACAAAGCACAGCAGTTAAAATGATCCTTTAATATGAAAGGTGGATCTATGTCGCTTCTCTGCTCAAAACCTTTAGGGGCTGTGCTATAGCTCAGTGGTAAAGTGGATGCCTAAAATTTGGAAAGCTCTGGAATTGATCTGCAGCACAAGAAAACTTGTGGTTTTCCATGTCGCTAAGTGTAAAACCAGAGACCTTAATGATGGACATCAAACCTTCCATGATCTGGCTGGGTTGCCCCCCATCCCAACCTTAGGATTGGACACCTTCTCTCTGTTCTAAAATCCCTACCTCTTGGCTTATTCCTGAACACACTGAGCAGGTTCTTTTTGTTTGTAACTGTATTTGCTGTTCTTTGTGATCCGATCCGATAATTGTCTTTTCCTAGATCTATCAACAAATAAGTGTCTTATGAGATGCAGGATCCTGAATCTGGAAATACAAAGTAAAAGCTGAAAATCCAAATAGCCTTAGTTCTGCAGTAAAGCCATGGCATAATAGGTCCTCAAAAAGTAACTGTTGACTTTTAAAACATTACAAATAATAAGGAAGTTGAAATTGAAAAAGTTTCAGTTTGCAGTATAGTACGAATACAAAGAAATACCAATACTCTTACAAATTTAAGGAATACCTATATAATTACACAAAAAAAGGCTTTAACATTCTCCACAGTGAACCAGGGAAACAAACCTTAGGAGTGCTTAGTGTAGTCTCACTGTAACAAAGCCAAACATGGACCACACCTGCTCAGCGTCCTAGGAGATACCTGTCATCTTCACCCTATGTTTAAAGAGCAGATTCTTTCAAAAAGAAATAGTTTTACTCCTTTCTGGTCTCCATAGAGACTTTTCTTAAAAGGTGCTTAATGGAATGTAGCTGCAATTACAAGGCTATTCTTAGGCTATACCTGAGTGTATCATGCCCCTGTCCCTGCTGTATAAAGAGGGTAGGCTCTCGGTTTCCTCTTCTGCCTTTAAGACTGTATGGCAGAAAGGAGTAACAGGAGCAGACAGCCCCACTGTCCTTTAGCTACAGTTGGTATAGTGGCAATATGCATCAATGGTAAGTCCAAGTTATTACAAACGTTATCAGTTATTCCGTTAGCACAAGTAAGGAGATAACAGACTGACAAATTTATGTCAGCTGATGAGCTGAAGACCTTTACTGCTGAACGACAAGGAAGGTTTGCTAATGATTTTCCTCTAGATTCTATGCTGATTTCTCTTTCATGGGGCAACTTTTCTCCAGTGGTGAGGCTAATTCCTCAGTGGTGACGCTAAAAATAGCACCCAAAAAGAGACTGAGGGATTGCACAATAAATGACCCAAGCAATGGGATTTAATGTGCTCTAGGTGTTCTTTACTAACAGAGGTCTCTGAGTACTGTACTTAGAGCAAACTTTTAGTGTTTCCCCAATTTTTGTTCATGTTTTGTGAGGAGCCCTCTTCAGTGACCAGTGCTTCATGAAAATTTGGAGGGGTTATTGGAGTAGAATATGAATTCTGGTAAGAAATTAATAATGAACATTTCCATAGCTTTCTGGATAAGGAGGACTTGATCACCTGTTAATATAATTACTGGTATGAAGTAATGTTTTGGTTTTTAATCCTAGACTTGGAGTGGAAAATTATCTATGTGGGCTCTGCAGAAAGTGAAGAATACGATCAAGTCTTAGACTCTGTTTTAGTGGGCCCCGTTCCTGCAGGAAGGCATATGTTTGTTTTCCAGGTAAGATGTTTTTAGTAGACTGAGTTATCTGTGCTCATATCCTTTTTGTGTTAGGCAATTTTACTTCATCCATTCCCGCTATTAGTCTGCTCTGTCGTTGCAGGCACTTTCTGTCATAAAGCAGTTCTGTACTTGAATCTGTGCGCAAAAGTCTTTACTTTTGGGAGCTAGTAGCAGAACTAGTACGCCAGAAACTGTATCACGGCACACAAGGTTGGTTTTGGTTTTGTCCCGTGGAACAGTTCTTCAGGATGAAAGCATCCCCGAATGTGTATTCAATGGTGTGCTGCTTAGTAATATGCATCTTCTGATGTAATTTCAACACCCTCATTTTGGCACAGTCAGTAACTGAAGGCTAAGAAATGTTAGCAGATGGAGATGTGTGACTTGAACCATTGGGATTGAAGTCTGGTTCTTCACTGACGCTCCTAATCTGTTTTTCTAGGACTGCTGTGACACATCCTACCCAGTTAGTATAAGTCATGTTCTCAGCTACCACTGACAGTAGTTAAGTTTGTGGCCAAGCTTGAGACATTGTCTTCTGCATTAAGTGTTATTTCGCCTACTTTATATTAAATTGCTGTATAAAACTAGTGACTTTTTTCAATTATCCATGCTTCTTAGAGGGAGCTATTTATAATACTGCAAGGAGTAATGAGCTAGTTTTTAAAGAACTACTGATTTTTATTAAAAGTATTTCTGCCTGAGTCTCAGTGTAGGCAGAATCAAGGAGAAAGATCTACTTCCTATCCTTGACCTCTATTTCTCCCTTCACAGACAGGACAATTGCAATGAATACTTGCTTTAAAGAACTCCATTAGAAATGGGCGAGGAGTTGCTTTAGAGCACACCTAAGAACCGAGGAGCAGGGACTGTTCACTATTAGCAAACCCCAAATAACTTAGTGTATATAAACAAGTGGCAAAGAAAGGCTCAACTACAGCAGTTTAAAGGCTGTAATACTTTAATTAAAAGTGCCATTAAATTGAGTTGTATGTGTGCATAACCTTGTGAAAGCCATAGCAACACAGAGCGCCCAAGGAAGCACTGCAGTTGCAGGCAGGCAGACCTGATGCTTCTACTTACAAAGACAATGTGACCCCACTAATGACCTGCCTCATAAGAATATTAGAAGGAATAAGGCAATTAGCAAATTATTGACAAAACTAGCTACATCTGTAATTAAGTTAAGACTATTATCTTATTATATAAAGCGGCAGGATTTGTTTGCACCATAATCCTGGGTACTACATACTATACTGGTAATTCATGATGTAGCTCGGTTTAATTGTATAGTCATATATTCTTTGTATTGCTGGTTTTGGAATGAGCCTTTGGGAATCTTTTGTGTTTATGTTAAGAATACCTCTAAGCTTTTGGCTTGCCACAGTGCTGTGAGGGGAATCTCACAGCAGTATATAGCTTTTGTTGGTATCAGTGTAAATGTTGCCAAAAAGAACAGAAAGCTCTGTGATTTAGGTCATGTGTTAGCCTATTCAATTTTTAAAGTCTGTTTTAAAGTCTGACAATTATTAATGAAAAGAAACTAAGGTACAATTTTTGTTTTGTGTTAGGAGCAAACTGTCCTATTTTCCTGGTCTGCTGTTTTCTTACAAGTGGTCTTAAGACTAGCAGGGAGATGTCCAGACATCTGTCCAGTCTTGAGGACTGGGTCAACAAGAGTGGTCCTCATAACTTTTCCACCCTTAATAATGTGAGAGGCACACACACTTCTTGACCCCAATTTGTGCAAGCTCTGGCACCCATGTTTTTAAACACAGACACAACTACAACTAATTTTCTGGGCGGTAGGAACATTACTGAACTCTTTCCCATAGTCACCCTTTTCCAGGTATGTAAGAATCCCATTGGATGTCCCAAAAGTAACCCCAAGATGCTTAAGATTTGTAGGACAAAGGGTATTTTGTACAGGAGAGGGTCTTGGTGTCGGTCCAAAGGGGATCATAAACTCTATTGGGATGGGAACTGAGTAATGGGAAAATAATGTTCTAAAATAAAAAATTCTTACAGCTGCATTTATATTAAGACATATATTAGGAGATTTATGTCAAGTAACATAAACACATAAATAGGGTAGCTGCTACCTTCTGAATCAGGAAGGATTTTGCTTAAAAAATAGGTTTGATGAAGATATCAAGAGATAAATTTGGGGGATTGTTTGAGAAGGAACTTTATAGTCAAGGGTACTGTTTGAGGCAGAGGCACATCTTACAGAGACAGTTAGAAAGCTTAGCGGTATTCTGCATAAGAGATGAAGATGAACACCCAGCCTTTAGACTTGAGATGCTGAGATGACAAGGTAAGAGAATAAGAGAAGCTGAAGGGAACTGAGACTTAGTTTCCATGAGATTTTATGGCTTTTAGTGCTGGCTAAATGTTTGAGAGAGACAGAGAGACACAGTCTTAAAGGTCTCCAAGCTGAAGTATTTACAGAAGAGTTCATGTGCAAAGGATGTTCTCTGGTGCTGGAAACGGCAAACTATTATGCTAGCATTTCATTTGTTTACCACACAGAACGGCTTTGACTCAGATGCCTCTGCCATCACTATGTCTTACTAGTTTGGTTCTTTCCATCGAGTCAGTCTCAGCCGTCTTGCTCATTACCATCAACATGGTCCCAGTTTTTCCTGGTATTTTTAGTGTCTTCTAGTTCTATTGTTTCACTTTCTCCATTCCTCAAGGTTTACCATGATTCAAAATGTGGTCTTTGGTATCATCTGCCTAAAGTTTTTGCCTGCACTGAATTTCCAGCGTATGTGACTCAAAAGCACGCTATACTTAGTGCCCAATAACGTGACTGTTTACAAATGATTTTCATTTTTTCAAACTTGCTTTATAGTTTTTAAGATCCAGTGTAAGTTTTTTTTCAGTATATGTTTCCTCCTTATTTAGTTGTGCAAGGGGTTGAATAGAATTGCCAGTTTCATATGGTTTACTACTGAAGTATTTGCAAACAGTGACTGACTAGGTGTAAAGAACCCAGGTCTCTGATAGAAGATGGAAACTGATAGAATATACATTTACTAGGATAAGTTCTGTGAAACTAATTTAATACATAGTAACTTGGGACTGAAAATTAGAGGTGCAACAGGTTAGGATCACTACAATGGTTGACTTGATTATAAACAATGATTTTATAATTTTAGGTAATTAATCACCATAGAGTAAAACCAGAATTATTTCTTTCTTTAGCTGTAATTGTGCCTGCAAAGTACTGAGGGTCCTCAGGACTAAAACACAGAAGTGGGAACCTTATGATCTAGGTATAAGCCAATTCCCATCAAAGAACATTTGGTGGGTAAGTTGGTTGTGGTGCTATTCACCTGAAATTCGAGCAATCAGGAGGCAGAGTGAAAGAATTACATAAATTTGAGGCCAGCTTGGGTTGAACAGAGAGTAACAGTCCAGCCAGGGCTATGTAGCAAGTAGGACTTGCCTCCAAAAGCCAAAAATAAATAAATAAATAGATAAATAAATAAATAAAGTGATTTCAAGTAGTGCTAAAGTAATTGAAACTCACTCACTGTACCTGCCACTAACAGTCCTTTGTGTATTTCTTTTAAAATTATTCTAGGCTGATGCACCGAATCCAGGACTCATTCCAGATGCAGATGCAGTGGGGGTAACAGTTGTGCTAATTACTTGTACCTATCGAGGTCAAGAATTTATTAGAGTTGGCTACTATGTAAATAATGAATATACTGAAACAGAATTAAGGGAAAATCCACCAGTAAAACCAGATTTTTCTAAGGTAATTTTCCTTACTATTCCTTTTTAATTACTGTACTATACAAATTTTAGGGGATTGTTATTTCATTCTACACTGTGAACACAGTCTTGAAGCAAATCTGAAGTGTTGTAGCACTTGAACAAACTAATCATTGTTCCATTTGCATGGATGACCTCAGTCCTGCCTCTAAATTAATGTTAGGTGGGTACCTTGAGTCAACACTGAGGACATAGACTGTCCTATTTTTGTAGTGAAGTGATTAAATATATTTTTGCCCATAATGCTTCCTAAAATTGTGGCAAAAAGATTAATGTGATTTTGTTATTCATTTCTTTTGCGATGGTTTTGAGAGGATTTTATGCTGTAACCCAGGTTGGCCTTGAACTATGGCATTCTTCCTTCCTCAGTTATCCAGGTTTTAGGATTACAGTTGTCACCCTGCTGTGTGTGCTTACTTTTATTAATATTTAGAACAGCTATATATGTTATCCTATTATTTTTGATGATGACAACTTAAATTCTGAGACATTAAAATTTGATTCAGTAGTCTTAAAAACATTGAGTATCTTAAATTTTTCCTACTGGGAACAGTTAACTGGTTTAGTTACTGGTCTTTTTTTTTTTTTTTTAATAAATTGACTATGGTACTCTATGTGGCAGACTTGCTACAAACTTGAGAAAGTTTTGCTTTCTGCTGGTGGGTTGGGATGCCTTCCACAATTTGGAGTTGTCCTGTTGAGCCAGGGTTATTCCTGATAGAACCTTTGTATAACAGTAAAAAACAAAACAACAACAATAATAATAATTAAAAAATCCCTTAAAATACTGTTTCTGGAAATGCATTTTAATATATTACAGTTAAGATCCGAGTAATTATAGAGGTTCTATTTGAGGAAAATTGTTCAAGTCTTTGTTTTTCATGTTTTATTTCTTGGTGCTTAGGATTGAACCTACAGACTTAGCCAGAATACTTCTTTGCACTGAGCTATATTCCCAGCCTGCAAACACATTAGGCTAAAGACATACTTATTTAACTAAAAACATTCTCTAAAGCGTGGGAAGTACCTTTCCCCCCTTAGCATTAGGAAGCAGAAGTATAGACACTTTGTTGCAGGGATGAAATGATCTAGATGAATTTTTCCCTGTCTCCTGTTTGGAAATGCTGTATTAGTCCTTGACAATTAGTTATGTGTAACTGCTTCTCTTTCTGATAGCTTTGCATATGAATTTAGTCCTTTAAAAGGACTAACAGAACCACCCAGTTTGCATATGGTAATCTAACTTTTCTGGTGCTCACCATTTAACTGTTTTTCTTTCTAGCTTCAAAGAAATATTTTGGCATCTAATCCCAGAGTCACAAGATTCCACATTAACTGGGAAGATAACACAGAAAAACTGGAAGATGCAGAGAGCAGTAACCCAAATCTACAGTCACTTCTTTCAACAGATGCATTACCTTCAGCATCAAAGGGATGGTCCACGTCAGAAAACTCACTGAATGTCATGTTAGAATCCCACATGGACTGCATGTGATAACATGCCATCCCATTAGTACAGATTAAGCTATTAAAAACAGAACTATTTCCCTGAAGTTCCGTAAGTACATAGTCAAGGTGAAATGTGAAGAATCTGTTTAAAAACATCCTGTAGAAAGTTTATAAGAAAACCAGTATTTGAGCAAATTGTGGAATATAAATACAACTATTTTTAAGTACTTTTTTTCTCTAATGTGTTATTTTATTTGTTCTTGAAACTAATCTGGTTAAAGTATATATATTATTTTCTTCTCCTTTATATGTAATTAAAGCATTTATAAAAAAAAAAGAGTTATCAATTATTAGACCAGATTGTGAAGGTGTTTTAGCCTCTTGGACAATAATACTTTTTACTAGCCTTTAAAAGAACAAAGTTTACTTCAACTAAAATGATTTCCTGTGAAGACAGCGTCCTTTTAATTTAAGGAGCAAACTTCCATTCTGTAGTGAAAAGCTATCTTTAAAAAGGGAATTTGAAATCAACTACATGCCACCAAGGCTTTCCTAGGCCACCCCAGTGCATCTTGTGGCTACCACCACGGCTTGTGTTAACACTGGACTTGTGGTTTTATGTAATAAATGTGGCTGCCTTTCAAGTCCCTCTGACTATGGTTTATGCTTCCCTACTAATAGAACTGAGAGACCATGATCACAAATCATTATTGTCCAGAGATTTCAACACGGCAAGAGCAAATGCAAGGTTTCTAAAGTGTAAGATTAGATTATAGCTGGATGGTAGTGGTGTACACCTTTAATCCCAGCACTTGGGAGGCAGAGGCAGGTGGATCTCTGTCAGTTCCAGGCCAGCCTGGTTATAGAACTAGTTCCAGGACAGCTAGGAGGCTGTTAAACAGAGAATTACTGTCTTGAAAAGCCAAAAAGATCTGCTCTTCAGTTTACAGAAACTCTGAACTTGGGTTGTCGGCGGTGTTGCTATAAGAAAGGTAATTTAGAAAGGTCTGCTTTGCTTTATCCTAATAAGCTGGCTAGTTTTGTTCACAGCTACAATACCCCATATCCTCTGCTTCTCATTAAAGTGATAAGATCAGGGCATATCTGTAGTTGACATGTTCTAGACAGCTTTTCCAGACAATTTTTTTTGAAGAGCAATTTTAGAAAGGAACTTACCAAATAAATGGGCCAAAAGCATATTTTCTTTAATGAGAAATAAGTACTTCAAGGATTTGCTCCATTAAATTTACAGTAGAATATTTTCTTTTGACCCTTGCTGATGGTAAGCAGAACAGCCATAAGATGCAAGTTATGCAGTGCCTTCACATCTAAGCTTTTATACTGCGCTTTTAAAAGCATTTTAAGGAAAGGCAAGGCATTTTTTTTTTTAGAAAGGCATGTGTATTTTAGAATATGAATTTGTGAAAAAAGTCTTGTTAAATGTTAAAACTTTGAAATTCAATACTCCAAATTATTACAGTACTGTCCATATCCCAGTCCACAGATTTTAAAAATAAAATACTTCTGACTTAAGTATTTGAAAAGAAAAATCTCATTTTTGTCTAACTACAATTAGGAAAAAATGTTAAAACAAGAGTTAAGTGATCAATACCATAGGAAGAGTTTGTTAGAAATAAAAAGTAAAAACTAAAATCACCAAGTAAAACAATTTAAATACCACTTTGCAATACTATATGTTCAGGTTTTTGTCAGTTTTTAAATGTATAACTCACTGTCATAAGTTTGAGACATAAAACTATTGCCTATTATTTTAAATGTTACTACTCTGTAGAATTTAAAGTTAAAAAACAAATGAATAATAATAGAACTAAAGAATTAAGAAATTAGCATGCATGGAATTCCCTCCTGTTTGGCCTTGTTTATAGACATTATGTCTGAATTATAGCTAAAAGGCTTAGATAACATCCCCAGACACCTTTATTCATTCATTTATTTATTTATTTTGAGGTAGCATCTCTGTATATAGCTTTAGGTGTTTTGAACCTATTAAGTAGGTCAGGCTGTCCTTCAACTCACAGAGATGTGCCTGTCTCTTCCTCTGGAGTATTAGAATTAAAGACATATGCCACAATGCAATGTCTGGGGAAAAGACACACACACCCCTCTGCCCATTTATACCACTGAAGAGCTAGGTGAGCAGGTTATGAAGGTATCATTTCCTTGAGTTAAGGAAGCACTCTAGAAACTGAGGAAGTATGTATGCATGCACACATTTGCTCATTCATAACCTTGTCTGACCCTTAACTTTCTACTGTTTTACCCTATAGTTTTAGGGTCTAGTTTTATTAAGAAAGTCTTTGGGGGACTGTCAGTATGGCTCAGCGGGTAAAGGCTTGCTGCCAAGCCTGACTACATGAATTTAATACCAAGGATACATGGTCAAAGGAGAAAAACCAATGCCCACAAATTTTCCTCTTACTTCATATGTGCACACACCAAAGAAATGAAAGTAATATAAAATTTAAAGAAATGAAAGACTATGGTGTGGTTTTCTACCACAATCCATAGTGATACCGTGCAACACCCTGCAACACAAGTACACATTTATATTAAAATTTTTTTCACAAACATGGCCCCTTTGCTACACCTTAAACTATGTGCAGCCTGACTCTAAATGGACTTCAAAAGAATGACGAAAGGCTATGGCATCTTTGGAGTGGTAGAAAGTAGCAATAAGTTTCTACAATTGTAAAATCTTTACTAATCTTTTTTCTCACATTTGGATTCTGATCTTGACATTTAAAATGCGGGAAGAGTGCTAATTCACTTTACATTATCATTGACACTTTGAAGCCATAGCCATTTACTGTACTATTTCCTCGATATTAATAGTCTAACATTATTAGTTGCCTGCAAGATAGCATGGGCTTGTTTCTTGACATTCTTCATAACTGCTTAGGAATCATTTCATGTGATTACTCACACAGTGTTGTTGATTTTAGGATGTAGAACACACTGGGCCATAAGGATTTCAAAATGTACAAGCAGTGCTCGTTATGGCCACTCCTCCTCTTCTAGTGTTCTCAATTCACAGATCCCATCTTAGCAGCAGTCACTAATACAGTGTTTAAAGTCCTCAGGTGGAACTCCTGGGACATTTCTTTTGTGATGACCTTTATAAGCATCTGATAAGAACTCTGACTAGAGGCTACAGAATGAGGCTATCTTTTTTTTTTCTTTTTTTTTTTTTTTATCCCGAGACAGGGTTTCTCTGTGGTTTTGGAGCCTGTCCTGGAACTAGCTCTTGTAGACCAGGCTGGTCTCGAACTCACAGAGATCCGCCTGCCTCTGCCTCCCAAATGCTGGCTATCTTAACATGTAACAACACCCTGTGAAACCAAAGTCCTATTTTTACAAGAACAGAATAATCAAAACCATAAAAATAGAAAACATCAAGACACATTTTAAAAATAATTTCTCCTAAATTTCCTGTCACTTATAACCAGATATTGATAGTCTGTCTGTAAAAGCTTTTAAATATACTTACTGAAGTATTATTACAGTGTATGAACAGAATCTCTTAGTACATATGTGAACATGTTTTCTAAATAAACAAATCTCTCTAAAAGGTGTCATTAGGAGCCACTGTTGGCCATGAAAATGCCTTAAGCTCTATGCTATCTACTTATTATTCTGTAAAATGAATTTCCTTATTTGAAATTGGTAGATCTTTATAAAATGACATCTTTACATTTTCGTACATAAAACTAAGTTCTAAACAGAAAACATGGACCTTTTTAAAGATACTTCCTTAATAGTACAAAACGGATGTTATATTTCCTTTAATTTTTGGCAGTAACTTAAATAACTACTTGAATTCTACAACAGATAATTTTTCAGAAGAAGATTACTGTTAGTTTCTGTATTAATGTCAATTTAATTTACTTAAAATTGTCACATCCAGTACCTGCACTGGTAGATCCAATTCCTGTAGTCAGTACGGACCTTGGTGTAATCTTGGCTGCATATTTGAGGAATTGCGATTTACCTGTGCCAGGATCCCCAACCAATAAAAGATGAGATTCACCTAGGAAAAAAAATAAAGGTGTAAAGGTTCAAAATTCTTAAAAGATCTATGAATACCATATAGCTAAAAAAAAAAAAGAAATGCCAACATTTTATATGGCATTTTGATAAATTTAATGCAAAGCTCTTCAGGAAGCAGTTAATGAGAAGATCCTTAGAAAAATTAGGTGTCACAAATACAGCAATTTTTGATCACTGAATGTGACACTGAAGACTTAGTAGAGTATGTGCTATTTCCAGATGCTTAGGCCCATTCTTAACATTTTTAAAATCCTTGACTTAAAAAAACTTTCTGATTTTTATCTATTTTTAAATCTAAACTACTATGATTAAAGCTATCCATATAAGCCATACAAGGTTTTCTAGGTTTCAAAGTACTTCTAAATGTTGGATTTTGTAAGTGCTTTATACATGTCAAATCATTGTGCACTTTCATTTACGTAAATTTTCATAGCTTAGTGAAGTCTACCTTAAAATGATTACTCAATTTTCACATTTAACACAAATGGACATAACCTGTCCTGTAGTAGATACTTTTATTGGACAAATCGATTTCTTTAGTAATAAGTATTTTCTAATTATATTAATAAGAAACAATTATTTAAGCTCAACATTTAGCAAAGTGCCTTGCAGATAACAGGTGATCAAATACACAGTTCCTAAGCTGTGTCTGTTTATTTGCTGCTGTACTGTAGGGTCTCAGAGTTCTGCTAACAACCTGGCTTAGAGTTTTTTTTTTCTTTGGGTTAACTCTGGTTAGCAACCTGTGTGTGCCATGCTTGCTGCACAGCTTTCTGTTACCAGTGTGGCACACTTGGAGTCTTGGCTTGAATGTGACCTACAGCAGCAACTCCTGGCAGATGACTTGACTGCTGCCTACCAGCAGGAGCACCAGCAGGCAGAGTGTGAGCAGCAGTTGGCAGTCACGGACGGAGACCAAGACACCATTTCTAATCTCTCACTTTTTTTTTTTTTTTTTTTTTGAGATAGGGAGCCATTTCTGTGGTACCTTTACAGGCTTGTAGTATATAGTCATGGAAAAAATTTAGGGATTTCTTTCATCTTTCTGGAATTAGAGAAGAAAGCTGATAAATAGGGATATATGCTATAGGAAAAATCTAGCGATGAGAAATTAAGTTAGCATACAAAGTAATGTACTTCATTTTGTCATTTTCAAACA